GCCGCGCCTCCTCTCCCCCGAGATCAACCGAGAACCCTTCCTCCAGGGGGATAACGCACCCACCCCCTCCCTGTAATCCTACGCTACGCGTTGACCATCGCCTCGGTTTCTTTCCACGACGACAAAGAGGGGACTTTGTTATGGTTTCTGATAGTAGAAACACGGTGGACCGCGCGCGTTACGAAAGTGAAATAATTCGGGAGACGATACTCTTCTTCTGTTAGTCGAACAGAATTTTTTAATTTCTTATAAATATATATTGAGATATTTTTATTTTTAGAGAGAACTATTTTTTTTTCTTTGAGAGTAGAGTATGCAATGTGGGGGAAATATCGATAAAAGTATCTTTTTTTTGGATATTTTGAGAATAATTGGAAGAATTGGAATATTTATGTTGCGATATTATATGAGATTATGAAAAGATATGTATGAATATGTAATTGAATGTGTAATTTGAATTATTTCTCTAATTGCAAGAATTTTGATAAAAAATATTAATTATTCATTCATTGATTCCAACACGTTTTGAAAATAGGAGTATAGGATTATATCCTCTGAAGGAATTTTCCATTTTTGGCAAGAATCCGACACATTCGTTACAAATGCAAATTATTGTTACACGTTTTTATGAAACCACTCCGAGAAGAAACCTTTAAAAATTCTAAGAACGAGGCAAATAATGTAAATTTATGAATGTTCAAATGAAAAATAATATTCACGCTTGTGATAAAAATCAAAATTTTAATTCAAATTTTGAGAACGAATGATAAAATAAATTATTTTGTACCATCCTTATTATTTATTCCAATTATTCATCCTGTTTTAAACAGAGCTTAATTTAAAATTCATGTCTACTCGAGAAAGAGTATGAAAATAATATTGATAATCTGATAAAGGGCATTTGTTTGTTAAGATAAATTTCGTTTTTAATACGTAGCAGGTACAAAAGCAACCCCGTGTAATCAATGGAATAGCGATCTACTGTTCCACTTCGTTAATGAAATTGATATAACCGTTCGAAATGAGATGCAAATGGCCCAGGATGTGGTTGAAATGCAGATACAAGCAGCAAAGTTTTTATTTACAATCCCTATAACGAGGCCGGCCAGTATAATGCGTTTCTTTTTTCTCGAATCGGATCGCTCGTATTTCTCTTCGTTTACGGATGTATTTCTCTTGTCACTTTCTCCCTTCCCCTTGAATATTCCTCTTTTCCATTTATCAATCTCTCTCACGGTGATATTTTAAAGATTTAAAACAGTTGACGCAGAGATTTGAAGCATGATTGACGTAAAACCCTCTCCAATTTTTCTATACAACATTAAGTCGAACGAATCTTACTTTCCATTTGAATCGTAGACATTTAGATTTTTATCAATATTTATTCCGTTTCATTCTCTCCCTAATTTCTCTCCTACGTTCACAATTTATTTTACGAGTTAAGATAAACGATATCTACGATTTTATGAAAAGAAAAGAATTTCAATTGAAATTTTAAGCAATGAAACGTTCGAAAGGTATATAGATTATTAATTCTGAATGGAAGAAACGAAACTTATAATAATAGAAAGCTTTTATAGGATAGTATATGATAGATGATCGGAAAAATAAAGAAAAATACAATTCAAAAGTATAAACGAGATAAACGATTTGAACGAAGAGATCACATTTCACAGATATCTTCCAAATCCGATTAACATTGATTGACATATCTCACTTCATCTTTTTTATCATTGAGAAAAAAATCGTTTCGCTAAAACGACGACAAACAATGAAAATAAATATTGCTCTCTTTAGTTTAACTAACTCTTAATTGAGAATTGAGAAAAATAAGATTTTATCATTTTTCTTCCATAAAAAGAAGAACAGAAAGAAATTCTACATTTAATTTTAACAATATTATTAACTAAAAATAAGATAAGAACAAAATAAAACGCCAAATCTATTAATCAAAGTAAGGAAAAGAAGAATCACGATTTACAATGAAAAAAAAATTCGATTATTATTTCTATATTGCGATGAATTAGAGCCTTGTATCTACATTTTGGACAACGTATTATGCGACCATTTTCTCGTGACGAGAAAGAGAAAATCGAATAACGGATAATATTTAACTTGTCGAAGACCAAGGGATGACGACACGAAGGGATGACTAGGATGAAGGTTAAGCAAGTGGTTAAGAAAGACGATGTTATTCGAGTAATGGAATAAAAACACTCGACCTGTCACCGTCATCATTGATATGAGAGGTATTATCTTTCACCTTCTTGTCCATTGAACAGATACGTCAAAAATTTCATTGGAAAATCCTCGTCTCTTTTTATAATTTAAAATAAATACAATAAATAACTAGTTTAGAACAATTCAACAATCTGACAATCGTTATTTAAATCGTTCCCTTCGTCGTTGTAAAAATTCACGATGCTTAAATATGATTCGTTGTTGAGCAATAATTATAGAACAAATTTTTTCAAATTTCGATAGACTTATAAAAAAAGTTATAAAAAGAAATTTGAAAGATAGCGAGATCTTTCTATCGAAGATGTAAGTAACCGTAAGGCTGGAATTACTGGAGCGTCAATAGGTCGGTGTAAAAGTAGAATGTTCGGTTTCATTAATGCGCACAATACGAAACGCATACGCAGGTGCGACGAGATAGTACGTGTTTCGCAGACCTTTTATAGATCCGTGACTGCTTTCGATACCGTATACGCTGGACCGTAATTAGTCTGTAGGACTGGATTCAGCTTTCAATGGACCTTCAATGAGCGCTACTAATGACGGCCGGATGACGCATCCGGAATCCCTATTTAAATGATAGTATGCTAATCCAATGGCAAGCATTTCGCTTTTGCGCATATTGTGAGATATATGCGATCTTGCGTTTCTGTTAATACTATACTTTCTCGTTGTCCCGATTAACAATATGTGTCATTTAATCGATCTAAAGGAATGCGAGAATAATACAAACACGATCAAATACTATTTGAAATTCAAGGTTAATTTTGAATCCAATTTTTATTTTCTTTTTTTTTTAAAAATTTGATCAGTTTCAAAAAAAAAAAAAGGAAAATGGACTAGTATTTTTACGCGACAGAATTTCTTCTTCATTATGTAATTTCCAATAATACGATTTTAAAATTGTATAAAAAAATATCTCAAAATTTGAAGATCTTTCGAGTTGGATCACAACCTGGAAATACACATTACCCTCTACTACATACAACAACAACAAAATTCGATCATTCCACTTCGATTTTCGATAACCTGACGATGTTTGATCTAATACGTAGCAGGATGGATTTACGTATGGAAGACATAGGAAGCAGATCGCAGGCGAATACGAATTCCCACGGGATCCCTGGACGGGGGAAAAGGGGGCATGAGAGACACGAAAACGTAAACAGTGACTTAAATCACCGTACACCGCCCCGGGGAAAAATCGAAACACGGTGTACGACGGAAGGATACCTCGGCGAACGTGGCGGAATGATGAGGTGTCGCGTTGGAATAGACAAGGAGGACTTTCCGGTCCGCTATTCCATCCGATTCCGTAATCCATTCCGGATACCAGGAAGGCGTCTCCTCCTTCCTTCCACTTTTTTCATCCTCCCTTCGATCGGGAGGGCCGACGCTCGAGGACAGGATACAAGACATCAGTCTTTCCTGTCCTCGCTTCGTTCCGGGAGGAGGGGGCTGCAAGATTCCACGACCAAATTCCACCCTCGATTCGTCCTCTCCTCCCTCGTTCAATACAAACGCCTTTCTCTCCGTGCCCCGTTTCTCTTACCCTCCCCTTCTCACCTCTCTTCCCACCCGTGCAATCCTCAAAATATTCAAATATATCCCTGTTTACAGGGAAGAAAACGAATCCAAGAAAAAGAGAGGGAATGAGAAAGAAGAAGAATGCGAACGACAACGCGAGGAAGGGAAAGGAAAAGGGGCAGGTGTAGATGATGGAAAATATGAAGCGAGAAAAAGCGGACAACGGTGGTGGATCGTGCGATGGAGGAGGAGGGAGAGTAAAATTAGAATGGAATTGGAGCGGCGAGGGCGGGCGGAAAAGCGGTGGAAAATCGAAAAGGTGGTTAAACCGGGAAACGAGCGAGGGAGACGGGACAGGAGCTACTTGCCGAGAGGTTGGGTGTAGTAGAGCGGGGCTCGCATTCCAAGCAGACTTGGTGAACCGGGTTCATTATTTTCTCGTTATAAGTTTCTACAACTCGAGCTTGTTGTCGTAACGCTGTTAACGCGGACGCGTCGCGAATTGTTAAAGCGGGTGGCGAACGATCGGCGCGCGTATATATTTCGGCGGCTTCCTTAAACCCCGCGTCACGCGCCGCCCTACCATTTCGTTCCTTTTCAACCCCGAGCTTTCTACTCGACCGCCACTCTCCATCCCCTTAGTCTGCTTCG